ACACATATGTACTTACATCTCGTGGAGTGAGGCATTAATAAAGCACGCTCCTGCGTGACTAAAGATAAATTAATTCCATGAGAATAGCAATCATTTGATGTGTAGACTGCAGAAGTTGCTTGAAACTTTGTATGAAGCAAAATATAGTTTTTAATGCAAACAATATCAGATATTTTAAATGTACAATGTTTTAAAGTAAAATCAAGACAAACATTATATATATTTGATAAGAGAAATTAATTGACTTGTCTTCATATTGAACGTTATCAAATAATTTTGCGATATCATTTTTCTTATCAAATGGCAGAAATACAGAGATCATTCATAAAGAATGTTTAATTATAAAGAAAATTTAATCTATCTATTAATATTAAGAATTAAAAGAACACATTGTTCAGGTATAGTCTCTGGTAACAAGAAAAATTTCTATCTAAAAAAAATATCTTTCTGTTTTTATTTAATTTCTAAATGATCCATCGTGATACAAACTACGATTTTAAATTCACTTTTTGTTAGTTGTACGTCAATTGTGCAATTTCTTTTACTCCTTATTACGTAAGAGGATTCTTGCCTCATGCGTTATCTTATTTTCTTTAGAGGAAGAGATGAAACGACTCTCGGCATGTCGAGAATCATTACGTTCGACCATACAAGGGAACATTCAGTCGTTAACTAAACTTATAACGAAAAAATACTCGCCGGATCACTACTGAACATAACAATTGGCACGTAAGGCAGTAGCTATGCTGCTACTTAAAAGCGACGTTCAAACGACGTTCGTCTCTCAGCAAAATTGGCACTCCTTAAGTGAAACTCTTGTTGACTTATAGAATCTAAGCCTGTACACGACCACACGATCTTATCTTCGTGTCACTTTTAACCAGAGAAACTCTCACCGGTTTTTGGTCACGATGTGGCGACAAGCTACTTTAAAATTATAATCAACCTTCCGTCGCTTCATCCTTCGATTTCGAAGTTGATGGCTTGAATGTTGAATTTAGTGCGATGGATCATTTTAAGATTTATTAAAAGCTCTGAATTATTCTCCGTGATGTCTATATCCGATTCCTTTAATCTTTGTCCCTTATATTATTTATTTTTTTTTTTTTTAAAGAACATTATTTATACAGTTCATATCGCTCCCTTCGTTTTCGAAATTATAAATCGTAATTATAAATTAAAATGAGAAGGTAATATTTTTGTCACTTATTAATATACTTCTTAGATGATGTTGATGCCGCTGGTCGTGATGCTTTTCACGGCGATGGTGTACGCCCAACCAGCAATAAACGAAATTCGGCCACAAAGCAACAGACCAGGAAGATTTCTGTCTCTTCCGATACCGCAGAAATGTGCAAACCGTGAGTAAACTTTTTTTATCTTCAACTTCCGAGACTCTCTCAAGAACTAAAAATATATACTTCAATTGGAATTCTTCTTGATTCGACATCTTTCGCAAATAACTAAAATAACAAAGACAGAATTATTTTATTTTATTCGTCATCGTTCCTAACAAATCGTAGATATATTAATTAAAAAAAATACATGAGAAGGGAAAAAATCCAAAGGCTTTCCCAATTACAAGCCAAAAGGTCATTAAAAAAAAAGACAATAAAATCCACATTTCAATTCTGTCGACCAATGGACTCAAAGTTCAACATCTAAAAACATGATATCCTCGACAGTAAGATATGAATCCGTAAGTTCGAGGCATTTAAATGCCCGGGCACGTTCTTCCGGCGACTAAAAGAAATTGAAGTTACAATGATACGGGACGTGCCGCAACGAAACTCAATCTTAAGATCGTGTATTTTTCCAGACTTATGATAACATTCATCGCTTGAAAAACAGATTTCCAAATCTTTCCAGATTTTCAAGTAATGTTGCACTTCAATATTTCACTACTTGACTTCTGTTGAATTAGCTTAATCGTCTAAAAGTTTTAACGCAGCTTCTACAACATGAGTTTAGTGTGTCTCTCCTTTAGAAATGAAAAATGCATAAAATGGTAAAATAGTGAAAAATTCATGAATTACTTGTTTCGAAAGATTTTCAACATTAATCATATACATCTGTTTCACTCGGAATTGCATAGAATCATTTGAACTTTATTTATTTAGATAAAAATCTAGCGCCTATAGTTGATTGGTAGCTCGTTATTAACAGAATCGTAGAATGCGAGAATAGCATCTTTCGTCTTCTCTCGTTTGTTGTTCGATGCACTTTCTCACGACTAGGATGCAAAATCAAGAAACTAGCAGACGTCTCGCAATCGCGCCGCGATAATTAGCGAGAGGACGTGTAACGAGACGAAGTTAAGGGAGAGACACCGATTCGGGGTCAACGAGAGTCGACGGACTGGTTGCATAATCTTGAACAGGATGTTTCGTTGGCTTTGTTTTGACCAGTTTCCCGCGTATCATTTGTTGGAAAACTGCCACCAAAACATTGATTTTTCTATAATTTATCATATCAGTCTATGTGACTTCTTCTTTTAGAATGATTTTAAAAGACTCTTCACAAGTTATATGTTTTAAGTGCTGTCTGACTTACGTGCGTTTTTATTTATTGCAAAAATATAACAACTGTAGTCAAGTAACTGTATTTCTTCTTATTGGTAATTATTTAATGTAAATACGATTTATCAAAAGAATCGTAGATTTCACTCATAATGTCATCTTTTTCATTTCATTTCTTTCAACTAATTCTTCATACAGAAATATACTGCTCGTCGTGGTAATCTGTTTCACAAACAACAAGCAAGAATGAAAGCAGCGTACATTTCGTTTTTTCATCCCGAACGAAGAATCTGCTTAAGGAACATATACAATCCACTTTCACCATCTCAATCTCCATCTCTTACTTTTACAAGCAGGTCAACTATATCTCGCCAACAGTAATTTTTATGAGATCTAAAAATCTACATAGTATCATTTTTCACCACTTCTGACGACTCGTGTCGCACGTTGATTGAATGCAGTTTCAGAATCATAGTTTTACCACGTTCATCAATAATGAAATATTTTTGATTACTTGTCATTTTTACTTTTAATATATCTTACAAGAAGCACATTCTTAATAATGTTAAGTCAACACTTTACATTCTTTATAATTATGTTGTTTAGAAAGAGGACAAGTCAATAATGCCATCGTTCGTGCATGCAACATCTCTTGAACAAATTAATTCAATAACAGAAAGAAGTACTTAGATAGTTACCTTGATTGATTAAACAATTGACATTTTCAACCTTCGTCAATTAATGTTGAAAATATTTCACTATAAATAGTCAAACTTAACGAGTATTCATTATAATTATTCTATTATGATCGTATCGATCGAAATTTCATAGTACTCTCATTTCCACGGTATTTAATCACGTGAAAGGTATCAGTGTCGTAATGTTGGATTATAATGACGTTCTGCAAGACTATGATCATCTGACATCCTAAAGATTGCATGTTTCCTCGACTGGAATGTTCGATCATCTATGGTTGCATCCACTATCCAAGTTAGCAAGAAGAAGAAACCCGAATCACGTGTGTCATGAGATCATTTCGGAAACAGATGATTTGAGTATTATTGCAATCCAATTAGAGGAGCCTCATATACCTTTAAACTTGTAATTTAAAAAAAAAAAGTTATCACAGATTTTTACTCCTGTTAAATGTATACAAAAAATTTTTATCGGTTTCTGCAACCGATTTGCAATTAAAAATTGAATCATTGAATTCGACTGATGATTCTTAATATCGGGATTATGAAACTTTATTAGTCCACAGGTAACAAATTGTCGTTAAATTACCTTATGACAGCACGGCTGACCAATCAGGTGTCGTAATGTTGTAGCTCGTAAGATTGTTCAACTGACAACCTTACAAAAGGCCGATGCTCTGCCGCCATGAAAATGTCAAGAATTGTTGCGAAACGAAACAACGACGCGCTACAAAGATAATTCCACCGTTGCTCGTTATACCCGCGTATAATGACCGCTCTTTAACGATAGTTCGTGTATATCTTCACTCGAGAGCCTGCACACCACTATTTCCCATTGAACTTCGAATTCGAATGATTTTGCAACGCAACATAATAAAAACTGCAAAATAAAAGTTTTTGCTTATTTCATATAAACCTTATGCTCCTGTTCATAAAAATTGAGTATTTTTTTTTCTAATCGGCGTAATTATTGTTTGTACAAAAATTTCACGGAGAGTGAAACTTTCTTCTAAAAAGTCTTAAAATTGAAAACTTTTAACATAAAATATTATAACTTTCACTCTGATTTTAATCGAGATTAGAAGTACAAAAGAGAAGAACAATACTGCGTATTGTTTCATTATATAACACAAAATGCAATAAATCAATAAACCTCAAATAAGTGAGAATTACGATATTTGACACATTATTAATTCAACACTAGTCGTGCTTTTATGTAATAGTTTATATAATATTACGTAATTTGCAAAAGTTTGACCTTTATTCGACCTTTATCTCGGATGGTAACTGTAGTATTACAATCTCGAACAGATACTACAGAATCAAACTATGATAAATATCATATTGCATGCATATCAATTTCTTTGATATTTATCAAATATTTATTTTTTTCGAACAAAGTTACATGTTTGATTAAATATAGCTGCAGAAGAGTGTGAAGAAAAAGGAAACCTGTTATTCTCATTGACTCGAGTCGTCTCAAGAAGAAGTTTCACCTTCCTGGCTGTCGTTTTCTTTGGTCAAAACCACTCTTACATCCAGTATTTATTTATAGCAACTCCATTGCGTGTAACTCATCAAAATGTTCAATTCATAGTTAATAATATGTTGGAATATTAAATTTAAATATTAGCAATTTAGATGACAAATCAACTCATCGCTTAACGTAACATCTTCTCGTTAAATAAATCAAAACTTTTCATTAAAAGTCTTACAACATCTCTTTTGTGCTTCTCACTTCTGTTGAAAATACTTTTCCGAAATTAGTTTTCTAAATATCAGTCTAATAAAAATCTTCTGAAACTTACTATTTTACAAAGTCATAAAAATATTACAACAATTAGTAGAGTTTACATAGACTTCGCACATTTGTGATTATCTTCATGAAGAATGAGTCCTCCTTTATAATCGTATACTCCTATATAATCTGTGTTGTTTCAGAAAGATATGAAATATCCTTCAAAATCTTTCGTTTTCTAATTCTTTAAAACGACGCGAGTCAAAGATGTTATTTATATATTTTCTTCTTCCCCCATTCAAGAAATGGCAAACATACTTCGTGCACGTTATAGAAATACAGTCTGCAAATATTAGCCATTCCATTGGCATAAATTATACATTTCTGGAAACGTATGGTTTGGGTGACGCTGCCGTGAAACACATGCAAATCGTGACACGTGAAAGTGAGAGCTTTCCATTCCATTGAAGTTCTTCGTGTCTTAAGATCACTTTAAAAATCTTGTGGAAAGCCTCCTGCTATCATTCGTACCATTCACGCTTTCGTCGTTTTCTTATCCTACAAAGAATTTCAAAAATATAAACAACACAGTCGATTACATATTAATTACAATAGATGTCATTAGTCTTTCAAATATTAATTTAAGATATCTATGTTGAATTATATCATAGCAAGCTATAATACAAACATTATTGTTTCTTTTGCAAAAATTGTCATAAAATATATTTAAAGGAATATTTTTTTTCTAATTAAAAATAACAAAATAGGTATAAAATAGATATAAATTTTTGTATGGATAAAAGAAAAAAATAATGTTAGAAATAATGTGAATCCTAAGTGTTAGACAAAAGATTTCACACACAAATTTAATCCATAAGTTATGCCGGAAGTAAGCGTAAAACGTGACAGATGTCAATTAATAAACTTCGCTTTCTCTGTCCTAATTTAACTACTTATATTGTTGCATGCGAATGACAATTCATTAAATTCAATTTATTTTTCATTATTAAACGAATAGTTGCGTATGTTGTGAATAATGATAAATATTTTTTAATAAAAATTTTATATTTTATAATATGAAAATTTTAAACAGAAATACTGATCGTAATTAATATTTTTGACTAACTTGATATGCAAAAATTGTATTTATCAATCTTTTTCAACCGTCTTATAAAATTATTAATTTAGAATACATATTACACTTATTATATATACACCTATTATATATATAGATATGTAGGTATGTCGAACTTTACTTAGCAATTTCATTTATTTTCACATGCGGTTTTACTGTAAAAAGATCATAATTAATTGCATAAATTGAAATAATACTAATAATGTTAATGCATTGAAATGCTTAAATAATGAATGAAATATTCCTAAAATGCAATCCATTAAATTAATACTTTTATGTTTGAAATAAATTTAAAAAAATTTGGAGACAATATTTGAAGACTGAATTTGTAATATTGAAAATTAAACTAAAAATTATGATCTTTTTTTATATTTGAATTCTATTGTGAAACAGATATGTTAAACAAAAGTTCAATACATAATAGTTTCTTCAACAAAAAATATATTTCACTATAAAATCTTTATTAGATCTATATCTACAAGTTATAATATTTTAGATAATATACACAACTAAAAAAAAAGTCTTTTTATAGTCCTTTTCTTTATAACTTTATAGTGAAAGTTTTTCTTTATAAGCTAGACTTATAACTTTTCTTTATAAGCTAGAGAAACGATAAAAGAAGGAAAACCGTTAGTAAACTTGAAAACAAGAGAATTGCACGAATGATTATTGTTAGAAGTTCCTTGACACAGTGCAATGATGAAACATGCGAGTGCTTCTAAAGGCGTATAAATGTTTAATGAACGGTGATATAACGATTGTTAATTGCGAGTGCAAGAGAAAACCAAAGAAAGATGAAGAAGGGGATTACTTCTTTTCTCGTTTATCAGATATAAGCGCATGATCACGCAAAAACCAGGAAATGTAATCTCATGGTACGGTGTTTAATGTCTCATTTGTTTCATTTTGTTTTATGACTTTTTACATAAGTATATTAATGTTAAATACTTGTTATTTTACATGTTTCACATTAAGTAATCAAAAATTGTATTACTTATTCCTTGGATTAATCTCAAGAAATTTACAATCAATTCAATTCTAATTGATCTTTTACAATCAATTCTGATAATTATTTCTTCTAATTTATTTTGTATGAAATTATTCTTAACTGTGTCGTATAACATACAGTTATTTGATAGTTATATGACAAGTAGTTTCCTCAATAGTCGGGTTTGATCTTCCTTGAAGTTGATTTTGAATAAAAAATAATTGCTAATAAAATTTTTGGACACCGATGAAATTAAAATAATTGAATTTAAAATGTGCTAGTAAATCAATAATTCACGATAACAATGAAAATAATAATGAGAAGTACAAAGGTGAATGTTCCTCTCGATTATTCATAGATGAAACAAATTCATTAAGAAATGAAGAGGAAGGAAAACTCGAATTACAAATAACGGAAATAATTTCTAGAATATTATGAAAGGTACAATAAACCTGATTGTATGCGATTGTATCATAATTGTTTTTACGTTCGTTGTTGGTAACATCCATTGTAAAATTTAACGCAGGAAATTTATCATGGAAAAAAGAGAGAAACTTCTAACAATTTTCTGAAATTAAATATTTCATTGGAGATTTTTAACTTTCCTCTTTAAGATTTTGTGTCTGATACTTTTTAATATTTTCGCAACCCAAAATTAATTGAACAAAATATCATTTAGATTCACATTGATATTCCGTGAACAATACATTCAAATCAGTAAGTACATAAATCAATTCGATGAAAGGGTTTTATTAATGAATCATCAGGTTTTATTAATGAATCATGTAATAGGAACTTCAAAATAGTTTCCATTATTCAATTAAGTCATATGAAATTCTATGAAATTACGTAAATGTACGTGATACATCTTTGAAACAGCCACGAGACCAGAAAATATTTGAATTTAAAGTAGTTATTAGTAACAGGTAATTCCAAAGCCATTCAATTAACATATTAACTAGCCATGGAATCTACTTTGACCCTGGCAATAATTTTTTTTCTTTTTTTTTTTTTATCTAGTATAATATAGACTAATTGGAAATTATTTCCTTTCCTATAGTTAAAACTGTTTCCTTCTCTTCAATAATAATAAATAATCGAAATAAGAATATCTGATTTCAGAAAAAAAAATATATAGAAAAAGCTATTCCAAAATTGAATCTTAAAAATCAGGAAGTAATGTAATAATTTTATAAAAAATACAAAATATAGACAAAAGTTAAGAATACACGAAATAAATCGATATAGATATAAAATTCTGTAGTTTCTATTCTTGATCCTTGATCTTACCAACAACGAATTATTAAATACCAAATATTCAAGGATACCTACATTTACTCAACTGCCTATACTGATGTCATTGAAATCATGGAAATCTTCTTATAAAAACTTCTTGTATAGCATGTATAACATCATACTGATACTAAGGCAATCGACATATTAACAAAAATGTTAGAATCGTTGTTCGTTTCTGAAAAGAAAACGTAATGTAATGATCAATTTTTGCTTAAGTATCATTCAAAAGAAATAAGCCACTTGTGACATGACATTCACCATGAGATTTTCTTTTCCGTGATATGTCAAAAAGAAACGTACAATTTAGGTAATTTTTCTTTCATCTTTGCCTTTCGTTCTTCTCATTCAACGGTTATTTTTCCAATGAAGAGATTACATACTATTACATGTTACATCAGTGAAGCCAAGTCCGCACACATCAATCATACCTCTCCTTGCCAACATTATGAGCAATGAAACGCATAATAAATACGTGATAATACGCACACACAGTATAGTATGTCTGCAACTTCTGAAATAACAGGTTTTGGCATAATCAATTTCAATAAGTGGAATTTAGCCTCTTAGTGAACCAGCGCCATAAGTATTCAGTAATAATTCGACGAGATGTAGCAAAGTTTAGATTTCATACATAAATTACAGAATTTTTCGTGATATTTGAGATAATTGAAGTGAATTCAAGTAAAATGATAGTTATTTAAGCTCTCTTGCACACAACTAATATTATTAGTAGCAATTTAACAAATAACAAGTTCCAAATTATCAGCACTAATAAATTCTTTTGAATAACGATAATAAAATGAATAAAATAAATGAAGTTATACATGAAGTTTTATAAATTTTATAAATCAGTCATTTTACGATTAGCTAAATATATCTTAATTGATGTAAGATTATAAATCTATAAAAAAAAAAATCTGAACAGTAAAACTTGTAACTTGTCAATACACTAATATTATTAAATGATAAATTATTATACGCGAAAATAATGATATTATTTATAAAGATCATGCATGCAATTAATACGAAAAAATGAGAATTTTAATGAAGGTTCGAAGGACTTAGATAAAGTGAACAAATCTGTAATATTACTGTTGAATAGGAGCAACCCTTTCGTAATCAGGACATTAGATTCACATAATGAAGTACACATGTAAATTGTCGAGGTCGAGGCATTCCTGCATAATTAACGAGAAAAAAGCGTAAGACCGTTGACATTTAACCGAACGATAATCACATTCTCCGTTTACAGATCCATCTCGTTTATGTACACGATAGAGATAATTGAATATCCCGAACGATTTCTTTTTTCCCCTCATTTTTTAAAAAAAATTCACTACATAATTGAAACTTGAAATGTCAAATGTCATGAAGAATATCTTTGACATCAGATTATTTGATAAAAGGACTGAAATAAAATATTAGATATCAGAAGTTACCATTTTATATTATCTAAAATGTGGAAAAATTTAATTATTTTAAAAATTTTCGTTTTCCTCTAAGAAATAATAATACCAACAATTTACTACAATTCAATGCTTGTTCTTTTTGTTTCTATCATATATTAGATATCAGATAACTTTCACAAACGTGATTAAATTAATAAATAAAATTTTCGTTCGAACTAATTGTAAATATATTAACATGATCCATGTTATCGTTAGATATAACTAGCTAAATCAAAACAAATTTTATTTAGATTGAACAAACATGGAAGAAGATTTTACTTAAATTGAACAAAGATATTTAATAAGAAGAAATTAATTCTCTGATTTTCAGGCCCGAAAGAATTCAACTATAGAGGACACAATTACTTCTACAGCGGACATGTTCAAGCTCATGCGAACCAGAGGGTAGATTGGTTAGATGCTAGGAACATCTGCAGAGAATACTGTATGGATCTCGTGTCGATGGAAACTCAAGATGAAAACAACTTAATCTTCAGACTTATTCAACAAAGTAAGTGATTTTAATTCTTGAGACACAAGTTAAATTCTATTTTATAGAGTAAAGATGTAAACTAAAGTCTGAAATAAAAAAGATATCAAATCATTATCATTTGTTCAAGAATTGCGGTCTGATAATAATTTATGTGCAATTGAAATGTTATTAATACTCACACAGAAAAAGAAAAAGAAACTTCATTTTATTGTATGAATTACAATTTTGTTGCACATAGGTTGATTTTTCAAAAGATTTCTTTCGTAATGATTCAAGGAAAATCATTTCATAGAAAGAGAAATTTCTGTGAACGTGTATTTGTTTATTCATGAAGAAAAATCCCATTCAGTTGATTGGATAATCTAGAGGCAACGAGAATAAGAATGATTCATTAACGCTTGATACACAGATGAGACTGATTCACATGTAATCACAGAACGCTTTTATCTTCAATTTCATGCGTTTATCTTCAGATTTGATGTATATCCTAATTGGATCGCAATTAATTCTTCTCTTACTTCTCGACTTTTTTCTTTATTGTCACATCTCTTTATTATGATTTTCATTTCATCATAATGTTCACGTTCTAATCCCATCACACATATTCATAGGAAAAGAAGAAACTGTATAAAGTTCAAAGGCATTTCTTGTATATCATATCTGAAATAAAAATTCTCTTTTTTAATTAAATTAAAATCCCCGTAATTAGTCACAAAATGATACAAATAACTAAAATTAATAATTAAAATAATTAAAATAATTAAAAATTGATTACTGGAAATAAATTATACAACAAATTTCGAAATCTTTCAGTATAAAACATCATAAAGGATTCAAGAAACGAATACTATTAGTAATTGCATGAATTTAAGCAATAATCGATAGTTAGATTAAACGAAAAAAATCTAGTAATCTCATATAACTAGTAATTATTAAATTTTACGTGTAAACAGGAAAGCATAGGAAGATATAAATCTATTTCTTTAACGTCAAACTTAGAAAGTCCTACAACTACCAAGATAAAGTCGGCACCAAGAAACACAGAAGTAGTCAGGTTCGCGTACAATTTATTACCTGGCATAGCTTTCGTTCTCTAGTCGGCTAGTACAGAAAATTTCGAAACAAATGATCCATTGCCGCGAGGCGATGCTTCTTGACTTCACGTTAAGTGGCTTGTAACATCACGTCTCTTCGACCATAGTGTTTCCTCACGATTGAAGAAAGTGAAAGACTAATCAGTTTTAGGGCTGCATATTACGAAAACAATATCGTGGAGATATTGTATGTTTAGTATTGAACAAATATTTCAAGAAACGAAAAAAGTCCATCGATTATTCAACAAATCATTAAGAAGAGAACCACTAAAAGAAGAATTAATTAGTAGTAGTTTGAGGATGTTTATGCAAATTCATATTTTTGTATGGATGTAATTACAAATGAAGTCTAAATAAAGATTTGTTTCATCTACTACATATTATAATAACTTTATTTTATATATTTTTTAATTATTTTGTCTCTACAATTTACAAAATCTACTGATTATTAGAATCATAGAATTCTTTATATTAAACAAATATTTTGAAAGAGATTTATTAACTTTATAATGTTTATATATCAAATTTAAGTTATTCTTTCTTTTTGTTCTAAAACCATTTTTAAAAAAATAAGTATAAAATATTTATCAATCTCAGTATAATTAATCGTATAATTAATCTACTAAAATAATATTAAAATAGTTCTCTTATTTTTGACTAAATTGAATGTTGTAAGAAATGAGAAAAAAAAAATAAAAAAAAAAATAATGATTATCTGTTAACCGTAATTAATTATCCTATCATGAATGGAATATTTCAATAAAAAAATTCATCTAATTCGTATAAGTATGTCTAAATTCGCCTGTGATTCATTTGCATATAACTAATTGCTTTCGCAAGTGAAGATACAATTTCCATCCGTTGTCGAGAAGTTAGAATCTCCAAGTTAACGAGTTAACAACAGAATCCTCAAGGCAAAACGAAGGATCTTTAAGTGGGTTGAGGCTGAGGAATCTCATCTTTTTATATAGTATATACATAACATTGTTGCATCACGGAACGCATCAATCATTTCAACCTCATGTCTATCTTGCCACGAAATAATATAATCTGTAAATCATCTATATTAACATTTCTACCGATATTAAAATGTATCCATTTTTTTCGCAGGAAAAGTACGTTTTTGTAAAAATCGTATAACTTACGTAAAAATTAAACGTATAACTTACAAAATTTCAGAGAGTTACAAAATTTTTAATATTTCATTTTGAATTAAAAGTGAAAGGATATTTTCTTTTTCTAGAAAAGAAGATTATCGATCTTGATCGATCAGAGATCGAACTTAAAAATCAAATTAAAAAAGCTTATGTAACAATGTTAGAAAATGAATAAATTATTATCTTTTCACAGATGACGTTCCTTACATCTGGACATCTGGACGTCTCTGCGATTTCAAAGGTTGCGAGAATCGTCGCGACCTTGAACCCAAAGCCCTCTATGGATGGTTCTGGTCAGCCAACAGAAACAAGATGGCGCCAACAAATCAAGTCCCTGATGGTTGGTCTTTCAACCCATGGTCCCAGACTGGTCATAAGAAAGTTAGGCAACCGGATAACGCTGAATTCGACATAAATGGCACCACCGAATCTTGCATGTCTGTTCTAAACAACGTTTACAAGGATGGAATCAGTTGGCACGATGTAGCTTGTTATCATCAGAAACCATTTGTCTGTGAGGACTCTGAAGAACTTTTGCGCTACGTAGCCAATACCAATCCCAATCTCCGCCTTTAAGGGCTTCATAAATGAATAATCCTCGTCATCAGCACCTCTTTATTTGTTTCTTTTGCAGCACTGACGAAACACGAGTTAAAACAAAAAAAAAAAGAAAAATGATCATTGAACATCTTTTATATTATGTATATTAATTAGTATAAATTATCTGTCTTTCGTTTGGATCATAAAAAAAAATATTTTATATTGAATTCATTAAAAACATGTACATAGCATATTTATCATTTATAATTTGAATCATAAACATAATGTTTTCCAATATAACAAAAGTTATTATATTGTTATAATGATATGTGTACATGTTATATACATATACTAAAAATGTTTATCGATATCATCAAAATGTGTCTCGTGGCTGCATTTTTCCCGCACTCATTTTTCAAAAGAATTCAATAATCTTTTACATTCTGTTTAATTTGTGATTACAGCATCAGTTAATGGTTAATGCAAACATATTTATTAATAGATTTACATTTGGCAGACAAACTCTGTACATTTTTGAATAAACTTTATTTGTAGGTATTTACAAAGTATTTATTTATCAAATCTTATAAAATATATATATTTAATATATATAATGTATGTAATATATTAAACTATATATATTTAATGTTATATATATTTATATATAAGTTGTTCCAAATGAAAAATGGCGAAATTCGTAATGTCAACTTTCTTGAAAATAATAACTTTCAATTGCCTAAATTCGACATACTTTTTCTATCCTAAATAATTATTACAATTAAAATCGATTATTGTTGATTATTGTTGCTAATTGTTAATATTTCTAAATTTTTCACGTAAATGGCAGTTTTTAAGATATTTACATTATTGTCATAAACAACTCTTTATTAGATTGAAGCTTCAAGTTTTATAGAAATGTATTCAATGTACATGGATTGGATAAATAATTTTATAACGTATAAAACATATAAAACATTTAACAAAACACAGATCATATTGAATTTAACAAGCTTCAAACTTTAAGTTGACATTTAATAAAGTTCATTTTTAATCGTGAAATTTTAAATGATTTTACGTACTTGTAAAATCCGCCATTTCATATGCAAAAACCTAAGGCTTTTTTATATTTTCAAAAACAATAGAGATATTCAAATGTTAATTCTTATTGGACCACACTGAATATAAAAATTATTACCTAGAAACACAGTTCACTCATTTTCTGTTATAACAGCACCAGATTCAAATTGATCGTATTTTCCTTCACTTTCCTCTGCACTAGAAAGAGAACTTTTTCTCTTTTTCTTTTTACCTTTAAGTTTGTTAAGCTTTAATTTAATTCTTGATTTGCGTTTTCGAGGTAAAGATGTAGGATCTACAAATAAAATATTATAGTACAAAAATTAATATGCAGAAAAATATTAATACATACGATCTTCAGGTATATTCATTTGCTTCCTCAAAACAGCTCGAACTTGTTTGTTAATTATTTCTCTACACTGAACATCAAAGCCACTTGGTAACCAGCCTCTTTTTTCATGGCACTTAGAACCAGGTAGATCTGGTAACTTTGCTAACATTTCTTGTATTTCATCTACAAGAACGTCACAATACTAAAAAAAATTTCATAAATATAAAATATACAAATATAGAAACATAAAAATTTTTATAATTACAATAATAAAAAAATTATAATAGACCTGATAAAACATTTGTCTTGAAGGAGGTACCATTCCCTCTCGATAGATATATACATTTTCATTTAAATCTTGCTCCTTTTTAGAACTTTGTTCTTGATTTGAAGCAGTACTTTGTACAATTGTTTTTTGCTTTGCAGCTGGTGTGGATTTATATGGTAATGTATAATCTGAGTAATTTCTTTTACATTTTACAGTAGATCCCAAACCATCTAAACAAAATAAGCAAAATGCGTAAAAGCAAATTTTGGATGTAAATAATATCATATTAAAAATAATAATATTTAACTTACGCATAGCTTTTAATCTATAATCTAAAGTTTGGTATTTTCTTGCAGAAATGTCTTTTCTTGGGTCATATCCCAATTTTACCCACATAATCTTCCATGGACCAGTCACGAAATAATATGCGACGGCAGGTAGTAAAATTTTCAATCGTTCATGAGAAAATTTCGTTTTATACATTATCGCGTTCTTTGACCAAATCGGTCGCTCCTCAAAAATTTGACGAATTTGTTCAAAGTGTATATTCTGAATAAACTTGACTTTCATAGCAGTCTCTATGCCTGTTGGTGGTTTAGAAGGAACTTCTGATGTTGAAAAGTAAATAAAATTCGAAAATCCTGTCTTTCTCTTTCTACTCTTTCCTATTATATTTTCTGGATATGAATTAACTTCAGTTTTTGGTACATATTGCTGTACTGTATCCATTCTGCTGAACGCAGCTGGTGGGAGAAAGTAAGGCACGTCATTCCTTAACCAAGAATAATGTGGTATACTATTGGGATAAATTTTGTGATATATACACTCTAATTTTTTAGGGTCATCCTTACTTTGAGTCATAGGTAAATATTGAAAATCACAAAGACCTGAAAAATATTACATTTGAACTTTTTACCATTAACTATAACTAGTATGAAAAAAATAAATAAATCTAATTTTCTCCATTTTAATAATAGATACATACTTGTAAATTTAAATTCTGTATCAACTCTACCTAAAATTTGTAATTTTGGCAATTCATAATCCTTATCTTTGGAAAGATCCTCATACTTATTACGTTCAAATGTTGGTGCTATATCTTTTTTACTCTTTGATAAATTTGTATCTAGTTGATCCTGTACATCTTTAACATTCTCAGAATATAAATCTTTATGAGAAGGACCAGGAACAGGATCATCTAAAGTAGTAAAACTACAACTTTGTATTTGATCAATTAATTCAGTTATAAGTTGTCCTTGTTGATCTTTATTATCTTCAATCCCTGATACATCTATTTTATTCACATTATTTTTAATACTTTCATTGTCATCAACTGAAGAATCATTTACTTTCACAGTACTTGCTGGTGGTTTCCTTTCTTGTTTTGCTTCAGCTTCTTTTGCTTTTTTTACTCTAGATTTTTTAATTCTAATTCTAAGCAAGAGACCATTAGTATTGTGTCTATCGCCACAAGTTGGTTTGCAATAAATATCATCTGGTCTAAATCTTAACTCCAATCGTCGATTTGGTGTATTTACTGCCTATTAATACACATATGTATAATTAATTAATTACACAATTGCAATACAACAATAACTGTCAATTAAGACAATTATTAGTTTATAATCTTTCTAAATAAATAACATAATACCGTTGAAATACTTTGAATGCCACCTAAAGTTTCTATAGCTTTGTCTGGATTAATAACATTTCCAGGATATTTAACACAAATAAACTTTTTATCAAATCTATGGCCTCCAGGAAGTACTGGTCCCACATATTCATCTTCTTGACAATCATTTACCTTGTCTTGATTATCTTCTGTCTACATAATTTAAATTTGTTTGAAAGATATAATAAATTTTATTTATACAAAAGTAGAACAACAATAAATGCAAAATATTAATCTATTCTTACATTTTCATCATTATTAACTTCTGGAACGTCACTGGAGAAGTCGTCACTGTCAATTTCTTTTTCATAATCATCAATCTTAAAAGCTTCGTGTTTTATATCGTTTAAGTTAACATTTTCATCATTGTCATTATCTAATGTACTCATATTGCTTTCATTTGATGTGTCGTCCCCCGACGTTTTAATTCAAAAATCACTACAAATCTTACACACGAATCTCACACACGACTCTAACTCAACTCTACGATGATGAAGATAATTGCTCCACCTGGTGCCGCGTTTCTGCAGTGTTCGTAATTCAGCATATAGTTTCACATCTTCACTCTTCTATAATCGTAGTGGTAGCTGACCGATAAATCATGGATTAACCAGCGCCGCTTATGAAAATCTGGAATGAAAACCGCAATTCTCTTTAATCTCCCAAATTTTCCCTTTCGATACAAATTCCTTGCATTCCTTATGTCCACAGGGCGATGTTCCGCCATTCTTTTATAGATATTATAAACTATAATAATATCCGATAAATTATTGAATATAAACGTACTCAACGTAAAATAAACAATGATGAAAGTATTACACAGTTAATAAATGTTACGCAGAATGATACATCTTCACGATATAAATATTTTGGACATGCTATTTATGAAATTGAACCTCTGAACTTCAAATAAAATATTATTATTTTACGTAAGTTTATTTCAAGATTTAACAATATGAAAAAATTATTGTAAAATACATTACTGTACAACATTGTAATTAATAATCATCAGAATTTATAAATAAGTATATGTAACTAAAAATTGCATATAAATAAATTGTCCATTTACATCCTCTCCAAACAACTTTAAAATATTGCGCACATCATATATTTATTATTATTATTACTTTGTAATAAATATTACAGCAAAAATTCGTTAATAGAACGATACAATCAATGATATACAATCCAAACAATTACAATTATATATTTTTTCTAGTTTATTGAAAACATGAATGTTTCAAGTAACTTCGACACATCGACACTGACGTCTACACAATCAATTCAATTAATTCTGCTGAGGATCGAAACATTTTGGTGATTGCATGGCTACGTCAAGGATAAGGACACCGATTTGATTCATGATCGAAGAATGACCGATTTCTGTGACAAAGCGGCAGGATTGATTTCATCTAGATGACTTTACGACGACGACCGGCAACGAATGCATAGGCGGTGATAATTCCTCGATAGTAGCTCGATAACGTCCCATGGAATTTCATCAGAGTAGTACAACGACAGCGGTGTTCAACGACGCAGCGACCATCGGCACGCCGAAAATCGCTTCGCCTTTGTACCGACGAAACATGACGCCCGACAAACGAAGTGCCAGTTCCGTTTCTTGTCGAATTTGTCACGAAGGTACAATATTGACAATATCTGTTTCTACTCTTTCTTTCTCATTCACTTTTGAATACATATATCAATCATAGATCGATCTTCATCTACGATCATATAAGTTCGATGAAGCGCTAACGAGAAAGTGTTGTGTTTTTCGCGTCTTTGAAAATTATTTACAATTTGAATAATGGATTTCTTTTTTTTTTTTTTTTTTTTCATAGATGTGGTGTGTCTTTTACAGATTACATAGTGCGTGTTTTAGAATATTTGAATGCTAAGTAAATTTGTAATAAAAAAAGAGAAGGTTTCGTTGGTAATATCGTGGTTTTTTCCCAAGTTCGTGCGATTTTTTTAAACAGCAAGTGTCTTTACGATTTAAGTAGGAATTTTGAAAGTCGATCACGTACGAAGTGTTTTCAAAACTTTAGTTAGTTCCAAAATTACGTTGGGCTGCTTTTGCCAAGTGAACTAATAATTTTAGAAGTAAAAGGTACAATATTGAAGCTTGAAATTTGAAATGATGTTCAATTGGTAGTTGATACCAATATACTCTCACTGAAGGGCGAACGATACATATGTATTGATAATAAATATAATGAACGTGTCGAGATATATCAAATGAATGTGAAGTTCACTGTATATAATATTTAATATATAATTAATACTATAAAATATTGGAATGAAAAAAATGGACAAAATATAATATATTTGTGCAATAT